ACATGAAAACTATTTCCTCGCTTGGTGTTATAACATCATTGCTTATGTGACATGTGAGGTGACATCAAATTGATGTTATAACTAGTTGTACATAGCCAATGTTCTTAACTATGTGTCTTCATAGTTTTCTAACTGTAAAATGACATTTAGTTGAAAATGTAATCCGTTCTTTTGTTCCCATTAATATAATTGTGATTTTAGTTCATTCCCAAAGTATATTGTAATATTGATACAACGTTCATGTAGGTTGAATCTGATTCTGATGAAGAAGATCCAAGTGTGTCTCTTGCAATTGGAGATTGATGATGATTGATCAATGCCATGGTTACCTAAACCTGCAAGCAACATTTGGCAGAAGAATCAATGGTTCAGATCTGAATTATCTTTTCTTTAGGATTCTAGTTGTTTTCTTAAAGTGAAAGTGAAAGAATACAATCATATTCATAAATGAATATACACACAAAGTTTACTGTATATACAAACTCTTTGGGCTATCCTTTTGTATTGTAATTTGTATAAGCAAATTGTTCATGTATTGCATCATCCAAAAATGTTTCATGATATGTAGAGGAATGATTTATCCTCCCTTTTGACCTCGAAACAATTTTCGATCTAGTTTCATTTTTAATTTTGCTTCTTCAATCTGTCGAGTTAAGAAATAGATCATTAGATAGTTGTTTATATTGTAAGCCATCATGTACATCTATAACAAAATACAACCATATTCATATATGAATATATACACCTAAAACTAATGCTTCTTCATCTAATGGAATATAGACACATAAGTTGTTATTATTATTATTATTTCTTTTGTATTATTGGGTTATTTTATTTATTAATTTATTTATTTGGATAGTAATATTTTTCATATAATTATTTCATTATTTATTTATTCTAATTAATTTATTAATTTGTGTAGGTTATTTTCTTTTCTGGAAATTTATATGATTGTTACGCTTAGAATTAACTATGAGTTCTAGGGTTGTTAATTTTTTTGCGTTCTGACACACCCGAGAGTGTGCTCGAATCCCTCAAACCAAGACCCTGATACCAACTTATAACAACCCAAATTTTTTAATAAAAATTTTCATTTAATTAACAAACTCATATTCATTAATTATAAAATTCCAATCACAATTGTTCTCAAAATCCAGGTCATCAAATAAAATATTCAAAATATCATAGTGTCTATAATAAAACGTCGGGGAGTGCATGTCGCGTCATCACGCCGGGCCCTTGCCCTTAGATCCCGAAGTACCTGAAACAACCAACAAACTGTAAGCTAATGTTTAGTGAGTTTCCTATAACATATCCCACATAATCCACATAATCACATATTCCATATAAACCACATAAGCCATGCATGTAATATGTAAGGATGCCATGGACTCCCTCCATGGTCTTATTCCAGGATGTTGTGGGCTCCCCCAAGGTTTTATACCTATGTGTCATGGGCTCCCCCATGGTCTTAACTACCTGCCATGGGCTCCCCCCGTGGTCTTCATTTAACTATAAAACAAGATACTAACACATTCATATATATACATACTAAACATGTCGATGACACATTCTCAATAATTACCACAACTAACTAAATGGGCCGGCCTTTGTGCCTTCGACCCATTGGTATAGTGAGGAGACTCACCTCAAATGCTAACAGTAGCTGAATAGGCCCTGACTCCGAGTATCTGCTCTACTCAATCCCTAAACATAAACAACTCTTTAGATTCAACTCAATACTTCAAACCCTAAGAGTCAACATTAGTCAAACTCAAAGTCAAAGTCAAGGTCAACATTCCGAGTTGAATCAACTCGTCGAGTTCCCTTGTTGACTGGTCAGATCGCGAAAAGTCCCACCAACTCGTCGAGTTCACTCATGAACTCGTCGAGTTGGCTAGAAAACCAACTTCTTAATGCATTAAGCCGTTTCCTTTGAATCCAAAGACTCCAAACCTCAGATCCCTTTCAAAAATGATGTCTAGAAGGGTAAAGTTTCAAACTTTACCCTCAAGGACCATTTATAAAGCTTCAAACTCAAACCCTAGGTCCTTTTAAGAGGGTCTTGAACCATTAAGCCCCTAAACTCTCACTTTAATGTTCCAGAACACAGATCTGTTGTCCCAACGTGGTCAAATCACGTAAAGTTTCCAACTTTACGTCCATGCATGCTAGAAATACCCTCTAAGGCTCATTTATGACTTCATAATGGACATATTGCATGAATGGGACATAGGGACTAATAAAGTTTGCAACTTTAAGCTTCAAGAGGTCATGAAGGGGTCAGATCTACCCTATCAACCCCTGGAATCCTCTTCTTCTTGTACAACTTAACCAAAGACCCAAAAATCAAACTTCAACTTCAAGTAAGGAGATTTAGATAACTACATGCCAATGTGTCGACTTTATACCTTAAAGATGCTGCCCTGGAAGAAGAGTTTCTGGATCTAAAGCCCCTCCTTCAAGCTAGATGCTTCCCACCTCCAAGCTCCTTTCAAGAATCACCAAAAACCACTCTTTTAAGCTCACCACACTCAAGATGCAAGATGGAATATGAATCTAGGGTTTCTCTAGACAATGGAGGCTGGTAGGGAGGCCAGCCATAAGAGTTAAGTCCTTTATAAAGGGTGCAAACCCTGAAATTTAGGGTTTCCTCCCCTTGCGCCAACTCGTCGAGTTGGGGCTCACAAACTCGTCGAGTTGGCCACCTAAAATCCGCGGCCAGAAAATTTCAACACGACGAGTTGGAGCTCCCCAACTCATCGAGTTCCATTCCAAACTCTTGAAAAATAATGAGAATTGTTTTATACCTGGACCAAGCATTACACTTAGATCACTACAACATAGCAACATATTATACATAAGGATACATAACTAACACATACTCGATGAACATTGGTAATCATACAAATCTACCAATCTAACACATACTCAACATAACATCAATCCAATATACCAGGATACAAAATCCAGTAGGCCAGCCTTGGTACCTTCGACCCACAAGTACAGTGAAGAAACTTACTTGAATCGAAGAACTCTGAAACACTGCGATATGATCCCTTTACTGCACTGCTTGCACCCGCGAATCCAGTAACACCGAAACCAGCTAGAATCTTAATCAATAGCCCAAAATCCTTAAGTTTGGCCCAAAGTCAAACTTGGTCAAAAAGTCAACAGTCAGCGGAAGTCAACAAAAGTCAAAGTCCAAGGCTGTTGAGTAGGCCCAACATACACGACCTTATCCCACTCCTTCATTAAGCACTTTATCCCTTATGGCCTTTTGTCCAGAGCTCAGATCTAGCCTCATAACATCGACTTAAGTCATAAAGTTTCCACATTTATGACTTCCCATGGCTAGAAAGGTCCAAAAAGTTAAAACCCTAACTTATTAATCCATTAAGACATCATAACTCTTGCATGGAAGGGATAGAATGACCAAGATCACATTTTTATGGTTCCTAATAGCTCTATAATGTATAAAGTTTCCAACTTTATCTATTACGATGGTCCAAACAACCAAGATCTAGTCTTTAAGTTTCAAAGGGACCAAAAGTGCATATTTCTCAACTTAATCCATTAAGTCCAAGTCTACAACCTTCATATATGAATCAATAGGATGTTTAGATGGATAAAGTTTCCAAATTTATCCATAACAAGGTCACAATCTTTCAAGATCTAAACTTTTTGCACTAAAGTGAACCAAGCACTAATTCTTCTTTTTCTTCCTTCAAAACCACCACAAGTTCACCAAAATGAGCACAAGAGCACCAATGAGGATTAGGGTTAGGGTTTATGGGTTTAAGAGTGATGGAGGTTAAAGATGGGCAACCTAGCCTCCCACTTTCCTTTAAAATAAGGCTTAAAGGCCAGAAATCAGGGTTTCGTTAAAATTAGTTGCCATGTCGTAACCCTTATGACCACGTCGTGGCGGGTCCTTTTAATCCCGCGATCAAGAAATTATTTTCCACGCCATAGTAATGCCTTACCACGTCGTGGCCACCCAGAGTGGAGGCTTAAATTTGGGTGGATAAGATCATACCTGAAACAGATGTTACATATATCTTTTGAGGTTTTGATTCTATCCCCTAAATTAATTATATTTACATAATATCTTCATGGATGCACAAAAAAACTCTAAACCAAGCAACAACCAAGAAGTCGCGTTTCATCAAGGCAACCTCTTGTTCAGTATTCAGGCAATAAGCCTCTAGTGTAGCCTCGTGTTCGTGTTTTCCTAATTGCAAACAATGGATGCAGATCAAGTAACAGTCCTTTACGACCTGCGTGAAAATTGAAAGTAGGAACATTACAAACAATCGATTCAACACAATGCTTCAAAACACAAAGGAAACTTACTTCCTGAACTTGGTCATTTCCCCCTTGTGAAATAAGATTGTGGTGACTTGGTAAAACATGTGAAAAATATGGTGGATAACCTATTGACCTATGTTCAAATCCTGATACTACTACTCAACCCCTGTGGCAATGAAGGTTCGCCTGCAGTGACTCCACTGACTGAGACATAGCTTGGTGCTCGCAGCGAAGATCGGTGCGTGAAAGGTAGCCCGAAAACCCTCATTAGGGAAGTTCTCTTTCAAAAAAAAAATTGTATGTTCGTCCATCCATATACATAAGTGCTCAAAAAGATTTAGAAAAACAAATAGCACCTTAAAGATGAAATTTAAAACCAAAACTATTAGAATCGTAATATGTAAACACCGTCCAAGTTTTAGGTATTAAAAAGTGGTTTTATCCGGATTTTGGATAGGTCGGATGGGGTCTAAGAGGGTGTTTGGTTTAGCTTTTGAAAGGCAAAAAGTATTTTTTGTAAAAGTTGGAAAAGTCACGATTACGTGACTTTTCAAAAAGAAGTCATTTCCTCTATTGTAAAAGTTGGAAAAGTCAAGATTACCAAACATCTTATTGACTTTTAGAGAAAGATAAAAATGAAAAAGTACTTTAAAAGCTATAGCTATGGCAAAGACCTTTAAGAACCAAAATGTATATTGTATACATTATTTCTTTATTATCCTGGTAAATATCGCGTAGTTTTGAATCAAATCAATGAGCGTGTTCGGAGGAGACAGTTGGGGGAGAGAAGCACAGTACCGGAAGAGGAGAGTCGACGATCTTCTGCTGGATACAGCCGCCGATCATTCTTCCTACAGAAAGCTTCCTACCGGAAAATACGCCTGCCTCATCTGCCCTCATAATCCAGTCCTCGATACTGCTCTCATGCTCTCTGTATGTTTCCTATTCCCCTCTTAACCCTAACCCTAACCCTAAGAGTTCCTTTTTTATTTAGTTTCTGCTTAAGCTAGATATGTAACTAGCATATACCTTTATGTTCGATTTTGATTGAATTTATTGTAATTCTTGTTAATGTCGAATTGGGCGTATCCCATCCTCGATTATAGATTTCACCAAGCTTTTCTTTTGTGATTCTGAATTTCTGATTTGGTATAATTAATCAAAAACTGATCTTTGGAAATCAATGTGCAGATGCACGTGAAAGCAAGACGCCATGTTGATGCAGAAATGAGGCTCAAACAAAGAGAAGAAGAAAGACAAAAAGAGATGAATAAGCGAATGGCCTTTTCACTTGATTCTACTTCCATGAGCAAGACAAACTTAGCTAGCAAACCTTTGATTGAAAAAACACGAAAGGCTGCTTTTGAGGTACTTCGCCATGGTTATATTGAACAAAGTAGCGCAAATTACAGCCAATCTAGATGCTCGATTTCTGAGAATGCACCATATGATTCAACCACTTCAAGATTTGGTGAAACTGAGGCATCTGGTAAGGATATTGTGAAGATGCCATTAGATTATCAAGAACGAAGGGAGAGAGAACTCAAGTTTACATCTGCTGGTTGGAAGCGTGATTGCCATGGAGGGTGGTTCAGAGATGAAAATGTAATTCCTTTTTTTTTGTTCCCATTAATATATTTGTGATTTTAATTCATTTTCCCAAGTATTTTGTGATATTGATACAATTTTCATGTAGGTTGAGTTTGATTCTGATGAAGAAGATCCAAATGTGTCTCTTGCAAATGGAGATTGATGATGATTGATCGATGCCTGGGTTACCTAAATTTGAAAGCAACTTCTGGAAGACAAATCAATGGTGCAGATCTGATACAATACTCTCTTTTCTTTAGGAATCTAGTTATTTTCTTAAAACGAATGTAGAAGAATACAACCATATTCACAAATGAATATACACAAACTCTATTGACTATTGTATATACAAACTTTTTGGGCTATCCATAAGCAAATTGTTCATGTATTGCATCATCCAAAGATGTTTCATGATATGTAGAGGAATGATTTATCCTCCCTTTTGACCTCGAAACAATTTCCGACATGGTATCATTTTTATTTTTATTTTTACTTCTTCAGTCTGTTGAATTAAGAAATAGATTGTTAGATAATTGTTTATATTGTAAACCATCATGTAGATATATAGCAAAATGCAACCATATTCATATCCTTCCTAATAAATAAAGAACTTTTTGCCACTTGTCACACTCTCATTGATTTGGCAACATGTCATTTTATGGTTATTTTCAATTAAATTTTTTCCACATTGCATTTTGTGGTTGTTTCATTTTTATTAAATGTATTAATTGCAATAAATATAATAATAAAGGCATTTCAATATCATTAAATGATTTTCCTTCTAATTTCAAAATTTATTAATTAAAGTCCATTAGTTTTCTTTGTTTATTTATCTAAATTAATTGTTTAAATTTAAAAGAGAAAAAAACACTTTAATTTTAATAATTCAATATTTTTCTATTTTACTTATAAATTCAACTTCTCAAATTTTATAATTTTATATATAATTTTTTTAAAATAAACTCAAGTAATACATGGGTTTTACACATAGTATGGATATATACACCTAAAAACTAATGCTTCTACATGTAATGTCTACATACCAACATATTCATAATTCATAAATAAATATAAACACGCATTTATGATTATACACTTTCATCGTATACATGTATCTCCTATTTCATCTCCTGTTGCTTTCATAGCCTTTTTTTTGAGGACTTCCGGTTACATGTAACCGAATAGATGGACAAGAGCGATAGGGAAGTTTCAACTTTCCCTTTTGTGCGCTAAGCACCACCTGTTGCAAAATACGGACATCTTGCATTTGTTCATTGTGGGTGTTGTTATTCTTAGTTTGATGACAACTCAAGCCTTATAATTCATAGATACTTAATTTTAGTAAGTTTGATATGCTTTATTTTTAGCAACTTTTAACAAATGTATTTTATGCAACCAAATTTTCAACAAAGATACCTATGCACAAAAACCGGTCTTCTAAGCCCATCTACAAATGTTGATTCTAGGGACTTTCTTCACGCATCATCCTCAACCGAGGAAATGACATTAATGTGGTGTTTATTTTTTATTTGCAGATCTTTTTGATATCTTTTGTTTGCGCAGTGCAGACCATATCCATATATTAGCTATTAGCTTTCGCAGACGGTTTGTTTTTTAGAAGACCTCAGACCTAAAAAGGTCTATCCATCCTCTTGTTGACGCAATTGTGAACTAGAGTCTTCTAAGTTCTAACATCTTCAGACATCTAGACTAAAAAACATCATTTTTTCGAATGTCTTTTTTTTGTTCTTCGAATACCTTTTTTTATTATCTCTCCAATCATTAATATTTTTTTGAATTTTTTTTAATATTTGTCCATTTTAACTGCAACGAAATACAATAAATATTAAATATATTCGTTAATTCACAACATTTTACTTTTATTTTTTTATTATAATACATTGTTTAAAAAATGACATAATTATTCTATTGTCGTTATAATACAAAATAATTTAGGCATAATATAATGTCACATAAAATAAATAAGATAAAAAATGAGTATGAAAAATGAAAATGTTATACAATAATACATAAAATTTGATCTAGATTTGTTAACTATTATATAATATATTAATACATATGTGAGTTATGAAGCAGTGCTAGTTTTGCCCTTAGTTGTTTCTAGTTTTGCGTCCCACGGCCGGGTTAGAGTCGATTTGTGCCCGTTGCTTGGCTTGGAGCCGATTTCGTTGCATGTGGGCTATTTGTTTAACTGTTTTACGTCCAAGTGTGTTTGCTGTTCGGGGTTAATTCCAAGTTCGTCATGCCTAATCCAGATCACTATAATCTTCGTTGCCTCCTTGATTGCTTCCCTCTTTTCTGGACATCCATTTCCTGTTCCATATGGAAACATGGAACATACTACACCGTCAGATATTTTCCTTCCATTCATTGGGGTGTAACATTCATTAGGGTGTACGACGGAGCTGGTGATCCCAACGATGACCATCTTCAAAGATTGTATTCCTTTTTCCGCCTGCTTCCATCAACGATTGGTCGGATACGTGTAACATCCCAATTTCCAATTAATTTAAATAGTTATAATCATAAAATTAAAGTATGGGGTTATAATTTTGGATATTTGAATTTTAATAGTTAATTTTATAGTTCAAGACTCGGTATAGGGGAGTATGAAATGAAATTATAATTACTTGAAGGTCAAATCGATGATAGTTGGAACTATGAGGAAACGAAATGAGAATTGAGGACTTAAAGTCAAAATATTGCAAAAGGGACAATTGGGGCGAATTTTGTTAGCCACTTAAGAACCCTTAAACACAACTTAACCCTAATAACCATTTTGCTTTGGAATTCCTGTTTTTGAAGACCTTTCAGCAGTGTTTGGACGATTGTGATGATTCAACCGTTGTATCTTCGAGAAATTTGGAGAGCAGCTTCCCAAAAACATATATTGAAGTTTTGACCGTTGGAATTTAAATTTCAAGGTCTGGAGCTCGAGTTACAAATAGTCGATCATGGTTAAGAAAACATTTTTAATTAAGAATATCTTCAATTTAAATAATTTTCAAGGTATAAGTATTTTCAAAAGAAAGAAAGCGAGCAATCATTTTTTTATGCAAGATTAGTGTATGTTTTGCTTTAATATTTATTACATGTTAAAAATATATTTAAATGTGGGCACATGGTTATTAAGGTCTCGATATAGAGCCTATGATCCTACAAATTGATATACGATTATGAATTATGATTATATTAGAACCGAGTCTACAACAAGATCTGTAATGAGTCTTAAGATACCTATAAGTGTTTGTCATATACAATCAATTTTTTAGCGTGTGAGGTGCTACATAATGGTATCATAGAAATACTCTCTCAAGATACAATGAGTTGGCAACTAATGAAACTCTTCGACTAATGATTTCGGGTATAGTATATAGACTTGGTGATTACATAAGTTGTTTGAGTGAGGGAATTGTAAGAACTTGTTTCATATCGATAGAAAATAAGAAGTTTAAAAACCTTGTAGGTATTAGGTTGTTAATTAATAACTTTCATCATAAATTTTCTTTTTGAACGGTAACACATAATGATAAAATTATCATGGTTTTAAGTTGATCCCAAATAGAATGTTTAATGTTCCATGTTGCTAAAAAAGAACAGGAACTTTGAACATTACATAAGATATAACTTGTGGATCAAAAATAATTTCATCTTGGTTTTAAATTTGTCGGGAAAAATATTATGTTGGTTTATTACTTTTAAGTTTGAAATCTTTTGCTTAAACCAAAAGCTTGAAGTGTCGAGTGTTATTGTTACACCGACTCATTTGTGAGCGAGTAACCCAAGAAAGGAGTACGCTTTAACTCCATGCTTTTCAAAAGTTAAATTGTCCTTATTTACCCAAAAGTGGTATGTGGCATGAATCATTAAGAATGACAAAATGCCAATTCAATTAGCAATTAGTCATAATTAACTACATTTTCCATCACTTTTTAGAACTTAACCATTTTGATTGTGGTAATTCGGTAATACATGTAGAAACTAGAAAATGTGATAAGTGACTTATTGAGTCATATTCAAATCCTCTTTGTGGTCATGAAGGTCCGTCTTCATTGACTCGATGACAACGAGACATAGTCTTATGTTCATAATGGAGGATTAGTACCATCGTTAAGAAAGTTCTTTTTCCCACAAAAAAAGAAAAAAAAAGACTTTTTGAACTTGGTTTATTAAAAAAAGAGATTATTAATGTAAGAATATAATTTTAATATTTATATTTAATGCATCAATTGTTTGTAAAAATAAAATAAAATTAAACAGTTCGATCCAGGGGCGGATCTACAATAGGTTTCGGGGTATCCCGAGATGCCCCTAAAAAAATTTTAGTACTGCAATTTTTTTAGAAAAATTTCGTTTTATGTAGTGTGTATATATATATATATATATATATATATATATATATGTTTTGTGAAATAATAACACAAGTTGTAGTTGGTTCCGATGGTTAAGACATTAGGAGGTGTTTCTAGAGGTTGCAAGTTCAAATATTCTTTGAAACATTTTTTTTTCACAGCTCCTTTTATATGTAACTTTATACGGATTATACCTATTATATTATGATGTTGTGAAAATTAAACACAAGTACTAATTCTCCAAGTGGTAAAGAGTTCAACTTTTAACTTTGAGGTCCCTATTTTGAATTTTGGTTCTTATATGAGTGTACTTTATTTTGTTTATCGGTTTTTCAACTTGTTTCTTAAAATTCTAAAATTGTCTCACATCGACTTTAACATAAAACATAGCTCCTCTACATATGTTATATAAGCAACACAAGTTTCTCAATTCTCAACAAGATAAACTTTCGATTGAGTTTGGGTTTAAACCCAAAACGGAGTTTGGAAAACCAAGAAACCAAACCCATCGATTTGAGATACCCCTTTACTTTGACTCTGGCTCCGCCGTTAATTTATCAAACTTATATTGAGTACTTGAAAATTTACGCATACTAACTTTTTTCTGCGGATATGTGTGCTTTACCGCGTATGAGGATGAAAAAAAGGAAACAGCAAACATGCATATAATGATGACAAAAATGCATGCTAGTCTCCTCTACAATGGACATAAAATTCACTTTTCATAGGTATATTTCCTCTTTCATGCAACTTACGATTTTTAATGCAAAAAATATTGGTGCCGCATATAATTTTACTTTTATATTTACAAAAGAAAAGCATTGATTTAATGCATAATTTATAAATCATATATTTAACATATTATGATTATTATCTAATCGAGATAAACCTCAAGTTATAGAAGCTAGTAAAAGGCCTAACGTATTATAAATTTTAAAACTCAACAAATCAATTGCTGTATGTTTTTAAAAGAGTTAATAAAATAAATTAAAGACCATTATGCATTAGGTTTTTCAGGATTAAAGCTTAACTATATTAACAAAAAAAAAAACAAAATTACCGAATTTATAGAATTCTAGAATTGAATTGCAAGGGTACGTGCAGGATTTAAAAAAAAACCTTTAATGAAGGCATTTCGGTGGAATTTATTGGATTTAAATTATCTTTTTTTTTTTTACCAAATGTAGGAATCGGTCAAAATTCAATTCCAATTCCTACCAAATCCTCTGAAACACCATGATATATGAAGTCAAGGAGATAGGGATCTCCCGTGATCAATGATGAAGATAATGAAGTTATTTCATGGTGAACAACAAACTGAGTATTAGAGAACCATAACAGGTTGCGAATATGAAGAATATTATTGGATCGAAATATGAAAACTAAGACGCAGTTTATTGTATCTAATAACCAAGATTCCAACTTGGTAGATCATTTTTAACTTGGTAATTGGTATATATCGTAAATCATCTAAATATGTAATCATTAGTAAAAATCTTTTATCAAACTTTACATTATATCAAAGAAAAAGAATCAATAAAATCAGAAAATACTACACTCGATCCGGATTCATACCATGAACAATGAATCACACGAACATCATCTTCCTCGAGAGACTTCACGAAGATTGTGACTGAACCCTAAGCAACCTAACAACCCAGATTTGTACGGCAAGAATGTCTTGTTCTTCATCTCCTCCGCCACCGCCCTGTTGGCCGTGTAATGTATTTCATGGGCTGAAACCTTCCTCTTCATGCTCCTCCTCCTCGACGACCCACCTACAGAACCACAGCCATCGCTGCTTCTAAAGCTTGAGTTCCTTGTATCCTGTTCTCCCTTCGTTATCATCGCGTATTTCTTTAATGGGTCGTCGCTTGTTGCTGCACTTCCCTCCGATGTGCTCCGGAAAAGTAACAGGTTCTTGAGGTTCCATTTGTTGTACCACATGAAACCAAACGGAGATGATTGATTTGTACTTGAGACCTTCTGATGATCTAATAATATGTCGGAAACCCTCATCGGAGATAAGGATTGTGATGTTTTGTTTCTGGTGGTGGTAATCGTTCTTTCTCTTCCTCGTGGGCTTTGATTCAATGCATTTGAGAAAGGTTCAGAATATTTCTTTTTGTAACTCACAGGATATAACTTCGGTGATCTGGGAAGAGGAAGATCTTTTGATGATTGTAGCAGTGGTTGTGGATCTAACGGCTTGATCTTTCCGCCGTGAAATAGCTCATCGGCGGCGGAGATCAATGGCCGTTCCAACTGTCCACTGAAATCAAAAGCAAAATCTGTATCATAATCTTCTTCATAATAATCCGAGTTTTTCTGTTCATGATTTTCATCACAACTTTCGAAAGGTTCTGTGGACTGGAAATCATCATCAGCTTCTGGGTTCATCGGAGAAACGCCGACTGGGCTAGTCGGTGCACTGTAAAAGAAATTGGAAAGTAAAATTTTGGGGCTTGAAGGTGCGGTGGCATACGGGGAGGTGGAGGTGCTGTCAAAGTTGAAGTCGATGGGTGCCGAAGACGGGATTAACAGCTGCGGATCCATGGTGGTTGCTGAAGGTGCGGTGGCGTCTTTTCGAGGACGATGAGTGAGTTTATATGTATGAAAAATGAACGGCGATCAGTCATCAGCCGCCTTCGTTTGCTTTCAACTAATTAGTTTTTTATAATTAAAATTAATTAAAAATAATACGCCCGCCAAAAAATAATAATGGACATTTGGTGTTCGTTGCACCCTCTTTTGTTTATGTAAGCGACTTATGTTCGAATTTTATAAAGTAAATATGTCACGTTTAACATTTAGAAAAATATAAATATATTCTCGTAAATTATTTTATTTATCAAAGAATAGAGTGATCAATGTCAATTTTATGATGTAGCACAAACATAATTTATACGAAAAAAAACCTTTTGTACAAATATAATTATAAAAAATCAGTAGATTTTATACATCAAAGCATATAAAAGACGTTATCCATTTTGTGAATATATTTTAATTGTTGGAAAAGCACGAGTTTGTTCTTTGGCAAACGACATTTTCGAATCACATGCGGACAAAAAAACCTTTTGACTTTATTGGTATTGCTTTTTTGACTTTATTTTTTCTTTCCGAAATTAATTATGTTTTTTTAAATAGTTTTAGTTACTAACCATTAGATATCATGGTATATATTATCTTTTTGAACGTTTTAGATTATTTGACTCTGTGAAAAAAATGAACAAATGACATACCATCTTATGTCATGTTCTAAAAAGAAGGTGCAAAAGATAAAGGGATAATAACTTGAGGGGTAACGTACTTTAGTTTTTTGTCACTAAATTATTTTTTTATGTTTTATTAACTCTTGAACTTGTTGAAACGTGTACATTATACCAGTATGATCAATAATAGTGAGTTTTGTTGGTTTTCGGCGTTGCTTCCAGCCAAACATGAGTTTTCCGGTCAAACTCGGTTTTTGGTGATGTTTCCGACCAAACTCGAAATAGCATTTGAGAACGACCTAAGCTTAGGGGGCTATTCCAGCGGCTGTTGCAGCGAGGGGATTGCTCATGCGGCCTCCTTGACTGTTCTTCTTCCGATGTCGGTGGAAAATGTTAGGAAAAATTAGGGTTTGTGGTGGAGATCTGGATGCCGACTTGGATTGTGATATCATTTTCTAAACTGATATTTCTACCTAATGCCTGGGTTACAAGAAATTCAGTCTAGGATAATCCAAGTGGACTCTTACGATTCTAGGCACATAAATCGTAAGCCAAAATGCTAGAGGATTCTGTGAAAATATGATCAAACGAGAGCTTAAGATCGTAACCCTCTTCTGAAAAGAAGAGACGTTTATATAATAAACGATATTAGAGTTTTATTAGGTTGGGCCGTCCTTAGTTTCTTTGGAAGCAAGTAATGTTAATCCGGATTTAATGAGGATTTAGGGTTACCAAAACTAACGAGTTTCGTTAGCGGGACCCCAGCCAGGGGCTTTGCCCCTTGGACCCCGCTAGGGGCGCTGCCCCTAGACCCCGCCAAAGGGGCGCTGCCGGACCCCTGACTAGTCGTCGAATCGGCTTCTAATTCGAACTTATACATGTGTGCACTCCGCACAACCCCGTAAATATAATAGAGTACAAATTATGAAGCCCCTTAGCTCACATGTTAGTTCCAGTTACTAAAAATGACATGATGACACTAAAATCACCAACAGAAAACACGAAGGGAAGGGGCAAGGCAAAATCAGCGATGATCAGGGGGAGTTTGTTGTTGTTGATCCGACGAGAAGGGAGGAGAAAAATGGGCGGGGCCTATTGCCCTCTTGACTACCTGAAGACCCCACCTCCGATGGAGGTTTTCTTGATTGAAATTAAAGAAGGAGAAAGGCAAGGAGCAGAACAAAACAACGATTTTCACGGGGTGTTTTGTTGCTTCAATCGACAGGAAGGAGGTGGAGCAAGAGGCTGCTACCTCTTGATGATTTTCGAGGAAACAACACCTCCAAAGGTGGTGTTCTTGGCCATTAACAAGGCAGAAAAAGAAGAGAGAAATGGAGAGTGTTTTCTCGCTTCAGTCCGATTTCTATAGGGATTGATTGTCGGAAAATCGAGTTTGACCGGAGAAGATGACCGAAAAACTCATGTTTGGCCGGAAACAACGCCGAAAACCGGCAAAACCCATTATTATCGGTCATACTGGTATAATGTACACGTCTCAACAAGTTCAAGGGTTAATAAAGCACGAAAAATAATAGTGACCAAATATGACTAAAAGCTAAAGTACATTACCATTTAAAGTCATTATCCCAAAGATAAAATATAATTATATATTTTCTACGATTCTATATCTACTTTGCATGCTCTTATAAGGGCATGTCCAATTGAAGGTCAAAACGTTGCTTTTCACCGTTTTATTTTTTATATATTATTATGTATTTGTACATAGAAAAGGTATCAAATAAGATACATGGGTATTTTAATCATAGAACAAAAATCAGAAAACCATCATATGATTATACCATACCATATCATCTTTGTACTTTCGATTCTAAATATATAACATAAATATATGAGATTTTTTTTCATGTTCTCATTTTGTTGTCGCATTTCGAAAATTAGCTTTTTGGTACTAATAATTAAAATCCATATTTTTTTGAAGATAGATGTTTGTGACACGTCCGATTTAAGAGGTGTAAAATTGATTTATCCATATAAAATATATGTTTCATTAATTTTTACGTTAGTTGTAACGATTTTTTTTTTGAAAGAGAACTTCGCTAACAATGATTTTCAGGTCAGCTTTTGTGCACCTAATAATCTCCCGTTGTGAACATGAGGTCTTGGAGTCACTGTATGCGAATCTGCATGACTATAAGGACCGGGTAGTATCAAATTTTGAACATAGTCAATTAGTTATGTAATATGTGGACGAATACTTTGGAAAAATCACGACCTATCCTTTTATAATATTTACTTTGAATGGTTTTACATTTTAAATACATATTCTAAAATATTAAATGTTACTTAAGCAACGTTCCCCTTTTGCTTCACGTCTAGTTCATTATAAGTTAATCCTTAATTACAATATGTTCACATTTAGCCATCTTTGAATAATAATAATAATAATAATAATAATAATAATAATAATAACAATAACAATAAGTGATTGTCTGAGGAAAAAATTTAATGGCTTTTTCATACTACAAACAATTTACCTAGTAGAATGATATATTATATTTTGTATGATATGACTTTTTCTCATTTGGAGAATAATAAGACTTCATGCAAACTTAAACATGTTTCGAGGTACAATGTACTTGAATTTATTTTATTTTATTTTCATTTATGACTTCATTCGTGGCCCCAAATTATTTGCATTTTCATTATAGTTAATTATACTTAATTCACAGCAAATCTCAACAACCGACTTAATGTGATCAGAAGGAAAATAAGATCGATAAAAAATATTATATATTAGAATTCTTATATTAAAATTTCTTGTATAATACATGAATAGAAACATAACACCTTTTTGTCGTATGTCAATTTTCTTATTTTTGGTAACTATTATGTAATATTTATATATATATTCCGGGCTCCTAATTAAAAGGATCATTCTTCTTCTTGAGTGTGTATAGGAGAAGATTTCTTTGGGGAGGGGGATCCGAAAAGAAGAAAATATGTTGGGTATCTTGGAATAAAGCTACTAATGTGAAATCAAAGGGTGGGTTGGGTGTTGGTTGCTTAAACACTTTGAATCTCTCCATTCTCGCAAAGTGGTGGTGGAGGTTAAAAACGAGGTGTAATGGGTTGTGGCTGAAGTGTATTAAGGCGTTGCATAATCTTTCTCTTGTGGATGGTAAGCCGTTGGCCAAAAGTCGATTCGGATGTTTGGCTTAATATTTGTAATATTAGTTCTGATTTAGTAGATCTTGGTGTCTCTTTAAAAATTAAATAACTTTATAAATATTTTAAAGGTTCAATACATATCGATTGAAGGCAAACGGGCAACAAGCTGCGCCGCTAGCCCTTTTTGACTAATTATTTTGAAAACTACATTTGTGGATCTAGGAGATATGACATTAGAATGCATGACCCGTTGGACTCTATTGAGGAGCTCCACCGCCTCTGGTGCGAGAAAACCAAATGTATCGCATGCAAAAGGTACAAACACATGTTGATTTTCTATACATGCATTCTCGTGCTTTACCACTTTGCACGCAGCGACTTTCAAAGCGGCATGCCCAGCTGTGAAACCTCCGCTCCCTAAACCAACGAGAGGAGAGACCCCAGTAAGATCCACGCACGCATGCTTCCCTCCTATCCATCCAAAGACCAAAATGTCAGCCGGTCTAAGTGTGGACCTTCCATCCTGCGGGTCCGTCAAAAAGTTCACCGGCGCTTCTTTCTTCACAGAAATACCAGCACGCCGACAAGCATCAAAGAGAACATCCTGAACCACATCATGTCTCTTTTGAAAGTCTTTTTGTTAGGATGGTAGGTGTAGGTGACAAAACCTTGTTTTGGAAGGATATCTAATGTGGTTCATGCCCCTTAAAAGATAAACTTCCTAATGTATATGTTGTGGAGTCTAACAAAAATTGTTTTTTATCTTTGAAAGGGTTTCTTTAGGGGTTGATTCCAACTTTCATTTGGATTGAGACTGGAGTAGACAACTCAGAAGGGGCAGGGAGAGTTGGCAATTAACGGAGTTATCAAATTTAATTGTTGATTTTCATTTTTCAGATGGTGCAGATCGTTGGAGGTGGCTTAGGGATAGATCAAGGGTGTTTTTGGTAAAGTCTTTAAGATCGATTATTGGTGACTTAGATCCTAGAGGAGATTCATTGGAGTTCGATTGGGTTAGATGGATTCATCTCAAAGTGAAATGCTTTGTTTGGAGGCTTTTATTGGACATAATTCCAATTGTGGTTAATTTTTCGGGGCGTGGGGTTCCTGTTAGCTCTTCCTCTTACGGTTTCTACAATGATGCTGATGAATCTATTGACCATCTTTTCTTTTCGTGCATGTACACTAAAACTATTTGGAACTGGCTTGGGGCGT